TAAAGGTAGAAAAGGCCAATATCTTAAAAAAGGCAACATCAAATGTGTATATATGGAATCAGAGAAAGCTAAATCGTAGACATTCTTAATCGAATACACTCTATCTCTTTAGCAGAAAAAAAGACAATTTCCATAAAATCCGTTCCCTGGTTATAACAATCCCCTAACAATAAATTAGACTGGTATAGGCTTCGAGGAATTGGCCGTGACACGCCCACTTTATGACTGCAAAGGTGTATTTCGATATCCACTTTATCGATTTGTGCCTAATTTGGTTCAATTATATCATTAATTCTAACTCACATAATACACGCCTGCTTATCATGCAAAGGGTAGTTTAGAGAAAGATGAGACGACCTGCGGCGGGTATATGAAGTTCGGTTTCGCCCGAGCTTATACTTCTTCACTTGTTTTTATTTGTTTTCTTTTTATGTATTTTATTTTAATTTACTTCCTTGTTTGGGGTTTTTATTGTAATTTTTAAATTTAAAAAAAATAATAATATTTTTTTAGTTTCGTTTTTTTTATGGCACACGCATTTCTTGCCATATGTTTTTTCTGCAATGCAATTAGATTTTCAAATTTGTTATTTATATTTAAATTTAAATAATTATTTTTATTTACATGGATTTTACTTAAAAAATCTTGACCACCTCCAAGCGCCCTCGACCTGCGATCTCAGAACCAGAACCAGTAGTCTTGACATGGTGCCACAGCCGACATTCGTAAGAAAAGCAATTAATTGCGTTTTATTTTTGGCTTTGGCAATTCAAAGGCAGATGTCGCTAAATGCCTAAGTTCTTCGAAATTGTCGAACTGGTAGGCACATACCAGCTAATGAACTAGTATTTTTCCAACAGATTTCCCTGTAGGGTATGTACTAACAACGTACTTATTAGGAATCTTCATGTAAAGTGATAAAGTGCTGATAAATGTAATAAAATGATAAATTTGTCATTTTGATAAATGAACTGTCAAACTTTGTATGGAAATCCATTTAACCAAAGTTTATCACTTTATCAAACGATTTTGATGGATAAATGTATAAATTTTAGGAAAATTCAGCCCTGGCAGGTTGCCAGCTGGTCGCTTTTGCTACGAACACACAACAAGCAAATGAACACAATGAACGAGGTAAGAACGAAACGTAACTAGCCATATAAATTAAATAATAAACAATTGTATGTAATATTTACTAAGGTGCGTTCATGTAAGGATGCAGATAAACTGATAAATTTAAGCAATTTATCCCTTCATCACCACGAACCATTACCGCATAGAAACTAAATCATTCCCAGTCCTACCAGCAGTTCTACCTGCTCGGTAAAAGCTACACTTTCCGCTCTTTTAAATAGAAAGTGTCCTGTTAAGAGATCTCATCAGACCAGTACCCAGTGTGGCGTATAGAATAAGCTAGACGGGCAAAATTTATTCGCGGATTTCTAGAATAGGGGTAACTAACAAACATAATTAATTCCTCAAAGCCTTGACTGGAAAGTTTTTTTTATGTCGCGGTTGGTTGATGTGGTAAGTTTAACCATTCCAATTACCACCTGTACGTGTCTAGAAACTTATACCTAGTCCTACCGAGTGCTGGGAAATTACAGAACAGATGCTCGACCGTATTCCTCTACACCAGATAAATTACAGCCCTGTGAAAACTGAAGTTAGTCGAGGTCATTCCCTCCTGTTCAGGTTTTGCACAGTAGGTGGGCCACTTGTGCCTTCAAACCGCATGCCCTATATAAATTTCTCCAACAAACTGGAGCGTATTGGAGCCTCGGTCGCTCCAGCCGCCAGGATAGTGGGACTTTATACCTCGTGCACCCGAAGCGTATGAGCGGATTGGAACCGTGTGGCTTTGAAAGTCTTGCACTGGAAGCGTAGGCCCGGATTGGAATCTTGGCCCTATACCTGAAACTCGTCACTTGTGAATGCGTGCGCAATGCAAATGTCAGCGACCGGCCGGCTCACTCCGACCGACAAAAAGCAGTTACAAGGTGTGCCATAATTTTAGGATTTCTATACATACGCCGATCAACGCAGGAGCTATGGCCCCTATTATGAGTTGCAATCGATTTTCGACTGTGGTCGAAAGTGCTGAGCGAACGAATTTTCATTTGGTATTATGGCGCTCATTCGATGAAGAATAGCGCTATTGTGAATTTCGCCCGTTTAGGTTGTTCACAATAGTATATTTTTCACCGCTGAGAAGCTTTGTTTACATATCGAGCAAACTAAATAGTGTGCTTATACATCTGTGTTCGTAAGGAAAAGTAGCTTATGTCGAAAGGCTGGCTTTAGTATAATGCGGCAATCCCTTTATATTTTAAACGGCAAGGAATTTTTTGATGAGACTTAATAAGAATATTGACTTGCTAGTATCGGAACTATTTCTTCCACGTTTATTTGCCAGAAGTTGTTCAACGGCTTAGCGCCAGTGAGTCATTCGCAATCGTATGCCAATGCCGATTTATACTAAAGCCAGCCTTTCGACATAAGCTACTTTTCCATATGAACACAGACATATTTATGTAAATTTTTTCTAATTAAAATGAAATAAAATAGAAAGCGAGTTTATAAAAACGTGGTAAAATGAGTACAACGAGTTCTGGTTCAACGATTCGTCAGAGGATGAGAGCTTAGTAAACTGGCCAGGAGTATCAAATGTTTAAGAGAGTTTAAGTTTATTAGTCTTTCGAATATATTTTGATGTAAAACAGATTTGATATACAGATTCATTAAAAAGTTCCGACCATCTAAAGAGAAGTTTGTGAGCCAAATCTATTTAAAATATTTTAAAACTATCAACAGCGCTACGATTTTGTTCTCAGAGATCGTGCTAACAGAGTATTGGGATTTTCTTGCACAAGTAAAACCAACCTTTCGAGCTTGTGTTTAGTATTCGCGTTGTTATAGCTGCATGAAATTAATAAAAATTGTTTAAAATTAGTATCTAGCCGCCAAAATGTAAAAAAACATACCAAATCATACATTTTTCACAATACGAATTTCACTTTCGATCTTCGATAGCCAGTGAAGATCGAAAATCGAATGCAGCTCATAATAAGGGCCTATGATAGTAACGCACCTCCGGAAACTCTCGATATCAACGTGGATAAGCAGACAACGTGGGGAAGTGGATTTCAACCTGACCCAAACACCTACACTGAACCCTGCATTTTTGCAATCGAAGGGATGAATTGAGCATAAAGATGGGGAGGTCACTTACGGTGCATACCCTTTTGGATACTATGCTTGAGTCTCAAGAAAACTGGTCTGTTGTTTGCAATTCGGCAAATACAATTTTAACTAAAATCCGTCGAGAGGAATAACTCCGCAGAATTTCATAGCAAGGCAATAGGCCCCTCCCCCTCCGGAAAGTATTACCTTATGGTAGTTTCACAGTTGGATGGAAATGAAGCAGGGTGCGGTGCGCCGAAAGGCAAGTCCCAAATTTACCGGCGCTCAATGCTTTATGCCACCTCTTTAAAAATAAATTCAAAATAAAAAATACCAAAACAGCAATATGGTTCCAGACCTACGTACCGACACGTATTTCGACCGCTGAATCTGGTTCAAAAGTCTGTTTTGCTTCATCACTTCAGGATTTTTTCCCAACCCCTAAGAACATGGCTGTACCTGTTCCTTCCATTGTGTTCATCGGCGCCCTTCCTTTCGTTGTCCACCCCTAGGAGCCGAGTTGAAAGATCTTTTCAGCGCAATTGTTAAATTGGTATGCGTTTAACTATGTCCATGTAGTTCAACAGCTCGTACAGATCGTCATTCCGTGTTCTTCGCCTTCTCATCTTTGTTAGACATCGCCCATGTTTCTGCGCCATATAAAAATACGGGCATGATGAGAGATTTGTAAAGCGTGATTTGTGTACGTTCGTCGAGAGAGTGCTCTGCTTTTCAAGAGTTATTCTTCGCTTTATCTCCAGACTGACATTATTGGTGGTGTTTATGGTGGATCCTAGGCAGACAAAGTCCTTGACTGCTTCAAAGTTATAACTGCCAATAATGACGTGTGTTCCAATACGTTAATACTTTTTATATGTTATCATTATCATTATATCGAGCCCTAACCGCCAAAATAACGTAAGCGACATTTTTTCGAAATTTTCTTTTTGATGCAGAAATATTTCTAGAGCATCTAGATGCATTTCTGCATCAAAAAGAAAATTTTGAAAAAAATGTCGCTTACGTTATTTTGGCGGTTAGGGCTCGATATGTTATATTGTGTCCAGTAGTCGCTCTAAAGTTTTCAGTATAAAAGACAAGATACTGATAGGACTGAAGTCATTAGGCACCGTATGTCCTCTCTTGTCTATCTTAGGAATGAACACTATGTTAACAGTTTGCCAAGTAGAGGAAGCGTGGCATGTCGCAGCAGTTCCCGAAAATTTCAACGTGCAACGCTGCAAACCATCTCATCATTCAAAAATAGACCGTAAGCGAATGGCATAAGGAAGCCTTTGCTTTGATAGTAAGCAGCTAATGCTTAAAAGGATGCATTTTTTGTAAACATGTAGTGCCAATAAAGTTGAAATTTATATTTTATTAAATTCGCCAAAGCTAATAGACATTTTATGGCTGGTTACCTCATTCACGGTCAATTTACGCATATCAAATGCAAAGTTCATCGTGCCGTTTACCTTTTTTATTTTTTTAGATGTTTACTAGACTGGGTCGGTCCCCATACAAAAAAAAAAAGTTGCTAATGTCCGCCCCTAAATTTAAAGATTATGTTGAGAGGGTTCTGGAAAAATTTTTTTTTTTTTTTTTAACCCTCCGAAATACAGCCGAAATGGTTTTTTCGTTGTAACTTGGTTATTTGACGGCCGATTTTTAAAATTGATATGTCATTATTTTTGTCTTGAGAAGCTTCACTTTTCGTTCTTATGTCTTTTTAAGCTTTGAAGTCGCGTTCGCATGATAAGGGCAGAAACAAAATTTTACCCCCCCTAAAGCATATTTTTTTCCTTACCAAACGAAAGTACTTAAAAATTCAAGAAAATGTTGCCTTCAAACTATATTACTAAAATAATCAACAAAAAAGTTATTTCACTTACAATATTTATTGCTACTTAAGCAAATTTTGGCGCGAATCAAGGCTTTTATATTGGTCTCGGCTTTCTAATTTTGCAAAAATGTGGCCCAGGCGCTTTTCATCAGTGACAGCACTTGCAGACTCACTAACAACACGCACAAACCGTTCGGTATTCTGGGAATGACAGAGGAACTCTAAAAAAAAATGATTTAAAAGTACTATAAGACCCGTGTGAAGTTTTTAGTTTGAAGATATTTACCTGGGATATTTATCACTTCATTTTCCGAAAATTGAAACATTGTAAGTTCACTATCTGGGTAGAACTGCACACAAGGGGGTTCCGTAATCTTAAACTGACTCCAATCGATCATGCTGACATACGACTTACTTTCAAAGTTTATTACGCCACGCTTTGGGACCTTGAACACGCGAAGCCCTGCTGGTGGATATTGACGTGCTGTTTTGATTTTTTCGTACCCATCATTACGTATCTCTGGATCAGCGTCGGTTATCATGGCTAATAATATATTTTCTGGGTGAAAATAATATGCATTATTTTCTATAGCTGAACGTATAATGGCTTGAACAGCATTTGATAGTTCGCGTATCCAGCAAATATACTTAAAAACGTGTCTACTTCCATGAATTGCTTGTGGCTGGCTCTTTACAAGAAACCAGAATGGTGCATAAACTTTCACAACAAACTCTACCATGTTTCGCTGATGATGGTTGCTGATGCGACGAAAACAAAGAGTATGAATTTGGGAAAAATCGTAGCAAAAATGTACCTAAATTGGTACGAAAGCAGTGAGATTAAATTTCCAACTAAGAAAACTGTTGGAGGAATTTGTGGGGGCGAATTTTGTTAGCTGACCTAACCATGGGTAAACGACTTCATAGCTTAAAAGGAAATGTGATGACATGTTAATTTTAAAAATCGGCCGTCAAATACCCAACTTGCATAAAAAAAATCAATTTTTGTTGTACTGTGTTATTATACTTACATCTGAAACTCATGTTGACCTGTGATATTAAAAGTGCTATAACTCCTTTGTTTATTATTTTAGTAATATAGTTTGAAGGCAACATTTTCTTGAATTTTTAAGTACTTTCGTTTGGTAAGGAAAAAAATATACTTTAGGGGGGGTAAAATTTTGTTTCTGCCCTTATCATGCGAACGCGACTTCAAAGCTTAAAAAGACATAAGAACGAAAAGTGAAGCTTCTCAAGACAAAAATAATGACATATCAATTTTAAAAATCGGCCGTCAAATAACCAAGTTACAACGAAAAAACCATTTCGGCTGTATTTCGGAGGGTTAAAAAAAAAAATAAAAAATTTTTCCAGAACCCTCTCAACATAATCTTTAAATTTAGGGGCGGACATTAGCAACTTTTTTTTCGACCCAGTCTAATGTTTACCCACTAGCATACGCATGCATAGATATGTTATAACGTATGTTGAACATATATGTATGTAGAAATGTAGTAATGAATAACTCATAAATGCAATTTAAAATTTCATACCATGTATCCATCAATTTACCAAAATTCTCACAAAATGCATTTGCTAAGCTGGCATTAAATTTTTCATTTCACACAATTTTCGTGAAGAATAATTACACGTTGAATCAAGCTTTAACCATTTACAAAAAAAAAGAAATAATATGAAAGATTTTCTGAATGCAGTAATTTGATGTTGGGAAAAATCGCAGCATATCACATTATATCAAATCGCATATTGCATGTATGTAGGTTAGGGTGGTCCAATGGTCGTAATTGTAATGATCTCAACCTTGAGGAGCAGTAGTGCTCATTTTTAACATGATGTTCGACAAATACGTGTGAAAAAGTAAAGTCGGAATTTTTATGCTCTCACCCCATATAATGGTTCTATACCGAAAAAATATAATTGAAAGTCTGCTGAAGGCAACCAGAGTTATCCGATCGAAAATATTGATTTTTGAAAAAACTATACCATTTCTACGAAAAGTTGTTTTTTCCCACATAAAATACATAGAAAACTTTGGACGCTTTGAGCGACCTCTATTTATTTTTCGATTTTAAAATATACAAGTAAGAAAGTCTAAGTTCGGGCGGAGCCGAAGATTAAATACCCGGCGCAAGTATTAAATATATGTTTTTCACCTTTCCGAAAGCTACCGCTACATTGTAAGCCGGGGTGTATCAATTTTAAGAAAAATAAGCGTCCTTAAATTTCGAAATACTTAAGTTTCGAGCATTTCTGAAATTTATCGTTATATGAAAAGCGGAAGTAATTTTATTCGGATTTCGATAATTTTCAACGTTTTGCTTTTATGTGGCAAGCACAATAACCATACCGAGTTTGGTACAAATTGGTAGAATTGTTACCGAGGTACATATATGTGGTCATAAGTGAGCGGTGCCACGCCCATTTTCCAAAATTTTATCATAAACGTATTTCTTGGTAAAGAACTGTTGCAAGCATCGATTTTGAATAAATCAGCCTTAATATTTACTGATTTATCGAAGATTTTGTATTTCTCTAAATTACCGTTATATGGTATGTGGGCGTGGCTATTGTCCGATTTTAAAAATTTTCGGTCATTTGGTATGTTGTGGCGAGGCCAACAACTGTGCCAAGTTTGGAAGAAATTGGTGCAGCGGTTACCAAGATATACACAAGTTACCATAAGTGGGCGTGGCTACACCCATTTTCCAAAAATTTATAATATTCTTATTTTTCGTCTAAAGCTTATTGTAAATATCAATTTTAAGTGAATAATCTTTAGTAGTTACTAAAATATCGCAGTTTTCGTATTTCCGAAAATTACCGTTATATGGGATGTGGGCGTGGTTACAGTCTGATTTCGCCCATTTTCAATACCAACCTACCTTGGATTAATGGAAACCTACATACCAAATTTCGTTGAGATATCTCAATTTTTGCTCGAGTTATCGTGTACACGGACGGACGGACAGACGGACAGACGGACCGACAGACAGACATGGCTTAATTGATTTCTCTTTTCATTCTGATCATTAATGTATACATTTGTCTATATCTATCTCGATTCGTTTTGGCTGTTACAAACAACCGTTATGTGAACAAAATTAATATACCCTTGTGCACAAGTGCGCTCGGGTATAAAAATAGGGGTATATTTTTTTTCGGTATAGAACAAGCCTAGGGGGTGGGAGCATAAAAATTCCAACTTTTTCACATGTATTTTTCGACCACCCTAATGTAGGTACATACGTTAAAAGTGAGCGCTACTGCTCTTCAAGGCCTTTAGCTGGGGAGAAAACTTAAGTTTTTTTTTGCTTTTAATGGAGTTCTTAAGTTCTCAACACCTTCAAAGCAGTCATTGTGTTAATTTTTTACTTTAGGCCAAGCCCAAAGTTTTTATTTTAATGTGAACCTAATTGGTATACATACATATGTATTAAATCTTACTCAGATATACTAGCAAACTTACCTTACCATGAAATTAAAAATTGTGTGCAAGTATTTGTACATATAAGTAAATAATTAAACTAGATTAATTTTCACAGTTTTCATAATTTTTGTGAGAACAGAAAAATTTGCATTTGCATTAATTATTTTTATTGTGTGAAATGGAGTTTAAAAAGTGATTTTTCTATGTCTTTATTAGCTTTCCGGATCTAATGCGGAAAAATCATTGTTCTTATTTATGTGTCTCTCCTTCCATTTGTGGTGTGCTTCTTCATATACACACCTATCCTCAATCAAAAAGAAGTTAAACGAAAATGCCTAATGAAATGGTTTACCGCATCTTATTCCAGCTATTTCATAGTTTAAAAATCCGTTGCGAAGGAAATCCTACCTGATCGTTTAGCAGTTTTTTCAACAATTCCTTTTTCGATCTTAAAATATTTTTTCGGACCCAAGTAACAATATCCTTTTTAAGTAACTTTTTTCGTCTTACGTAAATTTTGTATGTACACGTAAGTCTTAGTAGTAAAACAACGGAAAAAGTGAGTTTGAGAAGTAAAAACGACGAAAATCGGTCAAAAATGTGTGCCCGTTGTGAAAAAAAATTGTTTCTAGCAATCATCAAATTAGTAATGCCATCAGCGAGAAATATGAGAATCTTATAAAAAAAAGCATGTAAATGCAAACTTTGAAGTGTCTGAACATGTCGTCGTACTTTAAAACACTTATGGAAATTAAAAAAATGATCATGAGCAGTTTGTACTTGGAGGTGAAAAGAAGAAACTGGCAATGGAAAATCACTCAGATCTCCTCAAAGAAGATGATAATGTACTTGTTATTAAAAAATGTACAATTCCTGAATTACATGTGTTACAAGGAACGGATTAGTTCCGCCACTTACAAAAGCAACTTCTGCAAAATTCAGATGAGCTAGATGATCCAGAAATTTATTCAAATGTAGGCAAATTTTCACTTACACCTTTCATTTCTGCTTTCAAAGCAATGAACGAAATTGTGGATTTTTGTTGTTCTATGTCACCACCCGGCCAGGATTTAGATAAATTCATTAAAGAATTAAAAAAGCTTATGCCAGTACAAAAGTTTATGTGACATTGAAAATTCACGTAATTTTTGAACATCTTGAGCATTCCTTGCATTTTTTGGATGGCGAGGAATTTTGATTGTGGTCGGAGCAGCCAGGTGAATCAGTTCATTAAACGTTTGGAACCGCTACAAAATCAACGTGAAAGAAGAACCAAGAAAGATTAAGAAGAATGGTCGTAGAATACTCCTCCATGCATATTTAAAATTTACATTGTATATTAAAATATACAATATTTAGTTAAAATAAATTTTTTGGTTCAAACCAAATCGTTATTTTTATTATTCTTGTATCATTTTATTACTCTTGTATCATTTTATAGTAATTATCAGTTATTTTTCAATTCCATAACTATTTTTTCGTAATTATAAAATACATTGTTACATTAAATTTCTTCCAAAAGCCTACAGTAACCTGGCTTTCCTGCGTAGATATGCGAAAGACTTTAAGGATCCATACACCAGGAAAGCTTTATTTATCTCTTTAGTACGATCAAAACTAGAGTACGCTTCTATTATATGGAACCCCATTTACGGCTGTCATGCCGCCAGACTCGAAAGAGTGCAGAGAAAATTTGTTCGTTTTGCGTTAAGTTCCCTTAACTTTGATGACCCGATGCCCTCATATTTTTCATGTTGTAAACTTATTCACCTACAAACTCTTGAAACTAGATGAATTGTCCAGTTGCCCATGTTCGTTTTTGATTTGGTTTTTTGGCTCTTTGGATTGTTCGGTCCTTCTGGAGAAGATATCCTTTAATGTGCCTCACAGATTTCTACGCTCATCTCTGCCGTTTTACTTGCGTGCTACTAAGGCTAACTATTACCATTTTGATCCGATTTTCCGCGCTCTGACAGAATTTAACAAGATCTCATAGAGTCTAAATATTTAGGGGATTCCCTTAAACGCGAAGAGCAGAAAACTCGAAAACCTCGAAAGTTTTCGAGGCTGTTTTTGGGAATGCACCTTTTTTCAGCCTCGTAAACAATGGAGAAATTCCGAAGTTTGACAGCTCATTCAGAGTTTTTTGTATAATACATCGCATCAGCTGAAATAAATACATATAAAATCAGCATTGAAAATGCCACGAAAAAGTGAAAAATGTAAATTGTATGAAGTTCGTAGAATATTCGGATATAAAGGCAACACTGAAACGAGGCACGCGAAAATCGCCACTCATACAATTTTTGACAGTTGTTTTTCGAGGCTGGAAAAGTTTCGAGGTTTCGTGGTTTTCGAGCCACTTTCGAGCTTAAGGGAATCCCCTAATTGATTTTTCGTTGCCGAGAAATATTTTCAAATCATCTATTGATTCATTTTTCTTATAACTACTTGTGTATCTAAATCTATAGTATTTAGTGTTAATTATGATAGTCTTATTTTTATCTAGTCTGTAAGATTGTAATCATAGAA